ACGGCGGACGTACCTTTTTGAAGTTTAGAATGTTTCGCTTAATGTAGAATTTTTTCAGACGCAGCAAGTAGAAAAAGGTCAGTTTAGTGGAGTCACATGTATTTATTTTAATTTATAGGTATTGCTTGAGGCAAGTTCCATCAAGAGGCATTGGTTCATCATTTGCGATCGTTTATACAACAATTACCTCATCAAAGGCAACTAATTCAGTCAACGATGGATTGCGATGCTGAATTTAATGCACTTGCTTCGATGTATCAGAGTGTTGTTCAAGATATGAAGGTTTCACTTCATTCTTGTATCAGTTTGTAATTGAATCATTAAATTTAAAATCGGTGAAGACAATGAATCAGTTTGTTATAGTCACCGCTGTTTACGATAGGATTGCTCAGTTTTAACTGTTGTTTTAAAAACCACCCACAATAAAACCGTTTCATTTTTAATGCTGCACTGAGAAAGAGTAGAGAGAACGCCAGTACTAGAAATTTCGATAATTTATAAAACTCAAATGCTACAAACCTTATGTTTAGGTAATGTATCCAGCATGGGAAAATGTCTCACAAAAAGCACTCAAACTTGCATCACAGTTAAAGACTACTTTGAGTTGCATGAGTGCATTCGTTGATGCTATACAGTCAGTTGGAGATGCTGCAAACAATCTCAAAGGTAATCACAGGCAAAGTTTAGCAGTTATTCTTCCATTCGGTATCAGTCTTTTAGTTGTATTAGTATTGCTTCTAAAACGTACGCATTTGAAATGAATAATTTGAATGGGCTGGAGGAGTGATGAACTAAAATATTCGTCTTATTTAGGGGCCACACGTGATATGGGTGCATGTTTAACGCGTGTTTGTATGCGACAACGTTCAATCGAGAATCGACTTCGGAATTTAACAGATGCTTTAACCGATCAACTTGCTTTATGTATTCAAAACAAAGGTAATCAGTGGAAACAACGTGTTTCGGAAATGGATCGTCAGGCACACAAATTTTGCCGCAAGGTTCGATCGGCTCACAGTAGTTTTAAATTTTAAATGAATAATCTCAAAACATCCATCATAAAGACTCACAAGTCAGTAATCTGTTTCTTCAAGGGTTCATGTGAGTGAAAGTTGAATGAAATCGGATTACTGAAAAATTGTCGGCTCTCAAGAAGTTCACTTTTATGAATATATTTCAAGGCACGTTCGCATAAAGGTGCTATCGATTCGTCGGCGGTAAATGAACAAAGACGGATGTGTTATTCGTTACTTGTTGAGCAAAGAAATCAATTGTCATTTTTCATATCGGCACTACTCCCAGTCCTCGTTAGTGCATTCTCGGTTCTATACGTTTTTATCAGATATGTTGATTTTTAAGAACTCTCTAATGAGAGATGTGGCGTTTTCGCCATCTCGCATTCGCGTGAATTACTGACAAAAGAGCTATCACTTTGTGTGTTCGTAGATTCTTTCGTGCACAACCAAATTGTTGTCTGCTTAAGTTGATTTTTGATGATATCGCTACTCTTTCGAACCGTTACATCTTTCAAAAATGAGGGTTTCAAAAAAAATTTTCTTAAGCAACCCAAGCGTGAACCTATAGTCTGAAATTATGACATCCTAGTAAAGGGATATGCCGACATGGAACGATAGAATGAGTATAATCATTGATAAGTGAATGGTTTATAGAACAACGAGTTGTGTTTGCTCGAAGAGAGTGCACATGTGAAGCAAGTAGCCGAGCATTTACAGTCAACAGTGCGATCAGTGGATGCATGTGCAATGATTGAGACAATTTTGTCCGATATTCACCAAGGATCTGACTATTCATGGAGGAATTGTCTTTCATCGAGAAATGCTGCTACGGTAACAGGCAGTGGTTCCACAGCGAGTGCTCTCAGTCGTTCCTCGTGCATCTACAAGCAACCAAACGACGATGCTGCAGTACGTGCACCGTCTCCATCGCCAACCACTATCACATGGCCAACATCTTTCCAGTGTATTTATCTATGTTCTTTTGTTTACTTCTTTCGTTACTTTGACTTCTTTTAAATTTTTCCTTCTGTGGTTGATGGCCGGTCGTATATTGTTGCTGTTGTCACGAAAGAATTGAGTAAGTGTTGATTAGTATATCTAATGACAACGTGACAACAGCTTCAACTTCCCTTTCTCTCAAAATCTTTTGCTGGGTGATGAATACGACTGAAGCAGTGCGAATGTTTTCCGAAGAGAAACATCATTTCATTTTTCGTTCATCGCCTTTCATCAAACTGGCTGCTTTGGAGACGAATCTAATCTAATCCCGCAATCAAGCATTTCTAAACTCAAGAACAAAAAGGAAATCTGTGAATTCTATTCAAAAAGAGGGCAGTTAATAATTCGTAGATCCTGATTTCATAGATCTTATAAAAGTCATGCTTTTCCGTAAACCAAACTCTGATAGTGTTAACCCGGGTCCGCTAAACAATCCGAACTTGATATTTTAGTGAGGGTAATCTCATTCGTTTCACAGGTGGTCAAGTAAGCAGCGGCAGTTCGTCGATAAGAGCACATACAATCTCGGTTGTGGAGCAACCGAGACGAGGTAAATTGAATGCACATACCTTTTCACCACCGTCTTCGTCACATCATCATCCACCGTCATCATCAAAACCACCTTTACCCAAAAGGAATATCTCATGCTCGTCATCTGTCTCTTCAATAATTCCTGATTTTAATGAAGCACATCCCGATCAGGTATGTGTATCGCATTCATGTATTTATTCATATCTCGTTCATCAAGACATAACTTGAACTTTTGAAAACTAACGGCAGCAAAGCATCTCGAGCGGGAACTGATTTGTAAATTTTAATTTAACCAGCGGGACGCGTTAAGCATGCTCTGTTGATTCGTAAGCCAAGTGTTTACGGAATATAAATGATACTGAAGTTCCGTAGTATGGTCAAAAAGATGAGTAAAAAAGGGTTTGCGAATACAAATGGAAGTGACTCGTTAATGAGATCCATAAATCCTGATAAGCTGTGTGGGCTGTAATTAGCTGTTCTGTGATCTACGGTTCTAATGAAATGGTAATTTTGCATATCTTAACAGCTGTTAATTTGATCATCAGCACATTATTCTGTTTAGCAAAACATTTCATAATGCATGTACTCGAGTGCATGTTTGCGATTTGGCGTATTCATCATTGAAATAGTCTCCTTTCTCGAACCTCTCGAAAACTTGTTGATTAATTGTTATCAGCTGTGATTATGATAGGGCGATTAATTGATTTATGAACTTGAGGTGGTGAATATTTCACAACGTAATGGTTCTGCATATGCATCGTCAACAGACGTTTCCCGTGAGCCATTCAATCATCGACCGTCAAGACCATTAAGTTTTGCTTGTGATGAACGCGGCCCTCATGGCTCACCACCATGCCGATCTTTGCCATCCAATACGCAATTCAATCCTGTGGCTTCAAATAGTTGTTGGTTTTTGTTGTGGTTGTTGATTGAGTCATATCATCATCTGAATTGGAAAACCATCTGAAGAACAAATGAGATTGATATAATTGGATCACTAGTTGACTAGTGACTAGTTCGTCTCTCTTTCTTCTCGTTCTTTATATTTGGAATCGACCTTGATTATGTTGTTTTAACTTGCAGCTGCCGAATACAAAGCGAACTCACTGATAGCAGAGACAATTCAACAAATTGATAAACTTGGATCCGAGCTGGATTCGTATTGCAATTCGGCACAATCAATTGCCGTAACTCATCAGACAGTTCGGCTGCGCTCAGGAAGTTGTAAGCCGGCACCTCCCGAACGACGCAATTCAACGATAACATCTGCAACAACGAATGCACCATCAGTAGCGGACGTGCGTGCATCATTCGAATATGCATCATCGAAAGGATCTTCAACCGATCTTAATCGTGAACCTTACCCAAGCCGGTTTCTTTAGTTCGTGACATTTTTTTTGTGATTCACCTCTTTTCTTCCGTTTTCTTTCTTCGGTGTTTTTGATCGTCAACTAACAGCATTTGAAAAGTTGAAATTTTGTACTATATTGTTTAAGTAATCTCAATTGGATTGTGCGAACAGCACCATTTTCTGTTGTTTAATTCAGCAATATATTCGAATTTTTTTCGTGCCACATAATTTAGTTTACGACGTTTTCGTTACTAATTATGTGGAACATTTTTGGCAGAATGTGTTGAGTTAGTTTAATTAGATCGATAATATAGTGGTCACATATTAGTTTGCTATTGCTGCCATTATTCAGTTGGCTAACTGAATCCGCTTTCAATGCTGTATTTAATTTGGATTTGTTTTAATTTTGAATTTCTCTCATGTATCATCGAATGCGATTGCTTTACATTTTTTGTGATCGTATTGTTCAGTTTCATGATATTGACATGTTGCAAATATCCTAAATATAGGACAATCGGTTCATGCCAGTTTTCCGAGGATAATTCGTTTATTCATTTGTTTCGTAATTTATTCATTCATTTAATTAATTTTCCATAACTAACAATTACCTCTTCGCAAGAACGGTAAACTTGTTGATTTGTTTTGCTTTTGTTCATTTATGAATATTTTTTTAGCTGGCTCATTATGACTGTTTTTGTGTTCTTTTTTTTCAATTTAGGTCGTCTTTGATGATGACGAAGACCTGTGAAGGTATGAATCTTTTCATTATGCAGTTTTATGGATTTTTTTTGTTGTTGGTAAAGTGAAATGATTTGATTCGTTTGATGAATGTTTACGTATTTCCCGAGAAAATATGCTTTTGACTGCAGCATTCTTCCATTTTACTTTTGTTGAAGATTTTACAGGTAGTTATAAACAGCTTTTTGTGTACTTGTAATTTCGATGTATTAAAGTCGTGCGAATGTATTTTATGAATAAGATGTATGTTTTCAAGTTTGTCGTTGTTAGGTTTCGTGTTTTCATTATCATTATTTGTAAAAATTTGGAATCGAGTAGTTTAAAATATTGTTGGGTTGTTCGTAATTTAGCATTTAAATTGTAGTATTCATTGAAGTCTCCTTTTTCCCAAGTTTGATGTCGTGCTATCTCTCTCTCTATCTCCGGTAAACATATTCCGTCTTCCGGAGTATTACTCTTGTTCTCTCCTCGTATGATGTTTTGAAGCTTTCCGTTTTTTCTAATTTCGTTCTTTCTGTTATTTGTGTTCAGGACGATTTTGTCCTGAAGTTGAGGCATCACATCTGATCACTTGGCTATTCTCAATTTGTTTAACAACATTTATGAGCAACAGTAATTTAGCAATTTAGATTATGACAATTTCTTCATTTCCTATACACTTTTTCGACGTTTTATTATTTGTTATTTTAAAAACTTAGGTGATTTTTGTCGCAAAATTAGACTGTTGATGAAATAAGTAGTGAATAGTTTTTTTTACACTTTAGTTTTTGTTCCGTTTTTGTATTCAAAATGCTCTTTGGAAAACGAAAAGTTGGTTGCTATTTCATGAACTGATTTGCTGATAATTGAAATTTGAATATGGCATTTTTTGAATTTGTCGTTTTGTTCGTTCAGCAATCGATGGGAAAAGCCATTTCGTACGAAATAATTTGTGTTGTGGTACGGGTTTCTGTGCTACCATCACCACTGATCATCATTATCAGTTTCGTTTTTGTTTCTTTTTATCTGTTGTCTTGCCCATTCTCCGATATTTTATGATCATAATTAAATCAATGCTTTAACGAGTTGTTCGTCTCTCTCCCTCTGATGATTCATTTCAAAATTTATTTTGATTGTTCGTTCATTTATTGCAAACAATCATTCTTATCCGCTTAATTACTCGAATAACTAATCTTGTTTATTGTTTTTGTTTTGATTTCTGGCGTGTAAGTTGATATTATTGAAAACGCGATGATCAATCATTGCTAGTTAGCATCATTGTATAAGTATTTACTGCTTTAAGCACGTGCGTATCACGGGATTAATTTGTAAACATGAATGACTTCCATTTTCATTTTCAACATTTTGAGCAAAGCTTTTATTGAATGCTCCTTCATATGTAAGTAGTAGTATGAAACATTAGTACATAAATATCATAATGGAATTAATAATAATGATAACGATGTTATTATTATTGTTATTATTACTATTGTAATACATCATTGATATGCGTCCAGTTGAATTAAACGGCTTTTATGTTACTAGACGACAATTCGTCTAATTTTTAAAATTCGTTCTCTGATGTCATATCTTTGTGGTTTGTTTGTTGCAAAGGCGCAGCTTTATCGTTCGTTTGCTTGTGGCATTAGTACGCAAAATATTGAGAAGTGAAAAATAAATTTATCGAATTTGAGTTTACTTTGACTGAACTAAATATGATGCGAGCTGCTTCTGAAGAGTTTGTTCAGTTCAGTAACGTTCAGCGGAAGAAATGTGCGGGTGATGGGACGGGTTGCCGGGATGGATTCCCCTTCGACATTCCGGAGACTTACTGATAGTGTTTCCGCCGAGTCTTCAATGCATTTTCGTTTCACGTCTCATGCAGCGCAATTGCTGTCTCGTCTACATGTGCCACCATGAATATCCTGTTTCTGGGGATATTTGTGTTCCGCTTTGAAAATTTTCATCTGTTTGCGCCACTCGATCAAACCTATCATATACTAAACTCACAAGAATCGATTGCTGTATTCGACGTGAAATTCACTACCGCTGAGCGTAAAACTGAATTCAGTGGTTGACTTCCCTGCACATCCACGAGAAATGTTGAAATATCTGTAGATGATTCAAGGGAGAATTTGTTGGATCATAGAATGAATGATTCCAGATGTGGTAACCATTTGAAAATGTTCAATTGTGTTGTTTAAAAAAAGACGAAGAGTAAGGGGAAAAGATGAGTTTGGTTGCGATAATTATCCTGAGCAAGAGAAAAATGGAATCGATTAACAGCTATGAAAAAACACCTAATAAACTGGTGTTGTTTATGAATTTTCTTCACAATTGAATGTGAATAATGAGACTAAATATTCAGCCAATCTATGGAGTTCGTCAACTTTTAAGCAATCATTACGAATTTCCCAGCCGCACGGAGTGGAAACCTTTTTACAGTGCTGAATAATGAACCATTCAATCGTATACAACTTGGCCTAAGCTAGGCAGTGAACTGATCCAAGGCAGAGTAAATTCATGAATGATATGAAGTAACTGTTGAGCAATGAACATTATGTACGGTTTGATCAGATCATTAATCTGATTGCAACACGCATGATGAACGTCGTCCATTAACGATGATCGTTGTATGCGTGTGTCATTCATTCAGCAGCATCACTCGACCATATATTGTTCATCGATTTTCGCGCATCATTTGTTTGATTTACAATCAACATTGAGTTGCTCATGAGGAGGTGGTTAAACAATTGATTCAGAAATAATTTTTTAGCATTTCTCTTTCGTATTCAGCTCGGCCATCAAAGCATCTCCATCCTATCGATTTTCAAAATTCTCTGACTGTGAGTATTGAAAAATTGGAGAAATCTTAACAAAATTTCGATGAGATAAAAAAGTCATCTTTGATTCATATATTTGAATGGAGCCACATCGATGAATCGATGAGGTGACTGCTGGCTTGAAGACGGCCCATATTGATTAAATAAAAAAATGCGTCTTATCCTTGTCTGGTTGTGGACATATAGAAGCACAAAGCGTGCATGGTTGTGCTTGATGACGATGACGGTTCAGCATCGACATGTTATTGATGGTGTTCGCTTGCTGTCACCATTGACTTAAATTTGCTTATTGCTATTTTTGCACCGAGAACCAACCCTTCAATTCGGAAACGCATCCAGCTGTTTATAGAATGGGTCACGTTGTTTTCGAGTTTGCTTTTCTTCTTATCTAGAACATCAGGTTTCTGTATCCATTGTTTTATCTACTCTTAGGGCTACTCAATATTTTCTCCAAGTAGGTGTTGTTCTGTGATGAGAGCGAAGACAGATGCATCCATTTGTGGTAAACGTTTCTATCGTCATAATTATTGTTTATTATGATTTTTTTCATTTCTTAAAAATTATTCAGTCCATACGGAATCGTTATGATCGTTTTTCTAATAGGAAGAAGAGTATATGAGGTGTTTGTTTGATTGCCATGATTATATTGCTTGTATGTTGTTTAAACGATATTTAAAGATGAATGCGTGGTCGTAGCGAAGAGTTTTGTTGCTTGCTGCCAATCAGTCGTGGTGTTTTCATTTAGCATCGTAATCATCTGAATCATGTTACGACTAAATTTTCAATCCATTCTCTCAGTTTTCGACTCTGAATTCTGCTGATTTTCGTCGCCGAATTTCCCCAAATAAACGGATAACGTTCAGTCAGTATTGAACCGGTTGAAGTCATCGGAGTCTTTCCTTTTTGTTTGGTTACCTTCATTGTGATATTGTGCTTGAGAACGAACAATGTGCTAACTGATGTGTGAAAATCATGAAATCTTCTTCGTTTAGTGCTTATCGGTCAACAAAACTGTGCTTTTATCAGAAAATCTGTTTGTTACACCATCCGAAAACTCCCTTGCTTGTCGAGATTAAGCTATCGCACATGGATAGCGTACAGCTAAAATGGTTTGTTCGCTCATGCGATTATTCGTACGTTGCAAACAAACCGACAAAAAACATCGCTTTTGGCAAAACAACATTCTGCTTACATGATGACACTAAGACTGATTGAATGCTTGCTTCTGCAAACGGGGTTCGTTATATACGAAGTTTGATGTAAGTACCAGTTAAAGAATCAACCGTTTTTTATTGTTGGTGTAATTCAAAGCAAATTATTGCTCCCTCCACTTACAGTATAATGCTAATTGTTCTTGGCTGAACTAGTGGCGTACTTACAATTAGGAACGTTGATGACAGAAGGGCAGAAGTATGTATCATCAGTTTTTTAAAACAGCTTTTAAATGGTTGCAATGTCCAAATTTTTATGATTCCATATTTGTTTGATAGGTTCAGTTAATGCGAACAGCCTTTTTTGCCATTTTAAACGAATATCAAACAATAACGATAATAATTAATAGTATGTCTTTCTGGCTCTTTGATGCGCTTCAGTCCAAATCAGTTATTCTATTCTTTTTTATTTACTGCTAACGATTCGTTGTTATACATTGCGCAAAAATTTGAAAACGTGACTACTGAACGTATCAAGCAACCACTTCAAATGGGAGGGTGATATTATGTGTTCAATTCGTAGTTTATAGCAGTAGCGCCAACGGTTTGCCTCTGCAATTAGTTGTATTTCGCTGCTTTCGTTCGTCCGTTTAAAATTTCATTATTGTTGTGCTCATAATGGCGTTAATTTCTCTTTTGCGAACTTAAATGACTGACGGTTTTAAACTATTACGTAAAGTAACTTCTCGTTCTAGATCAAAATTAACTCAGGCCTTGAATATATGCTATCACCTCAAAATTCACTTCATTTCCTAGTTTTATCACTGCAACATTCATTTGTTAGTGAGTATTTCATTCGTGTACAATCATGCGTTTGAGAGTTTCTATACCATTGATAAGAAAATATTTCAATGGTTAATCATAAATTTTTAATTCTTCATATATTTTTTGCTCGTATGTGTCATAATTTATTGTGTATTTTCTTTCTCATGTGTGATGCATTATTGAAGAAGTGTTGACTTTTATTCGTGTGGAGTGTTGGGTTGTCGTTGGTTTGAATTGTTGACTTTACTCATTTCATAATATTTATCTAGATCGTTTTTAGGTGGTGCTCGCAGAGCACATTTCATCGATCGCGTATGGGCTCTTCTACCAGATGCAAACTGTTTGTGAGTGTTTTCTAATCGTGTCGTTCATTTGGAATTTTTAATTCTTTTCATGTTTTATTTTATTGCCTTCTTCTTGTTCATTTTATTTTGCTGAATTCTCATTTATCGTAGTAGTATGAAAATTAAATGATCGAAGCTATCGTATGATTTATCAATAAAAGCTCTCATCCAATTTCTTCACGGTCAACTTAATATGTTCCTTTCCCTTCCAATGTCTTTTTTCTGCATGGCACGATCCAGTAACAGTTGGTTTGGGTAGTTTTTATCAGAAAAAAAAGACCAAATGAAAAATTTTCCCTTCATTTGTTTTTCAGTTGAAAAGTCAGTGAGTGCCGACTCAGCGTCCGTAGGTACCTTTGGAGTACGCTCGAAAAAGATTTATGTCGGCTCACCTCTAACCCAGTATTCGATTTGTGAGCAGGAGGAAAAGGTTTGATTTTTGCTTTTCATTCCCATATTTATTTGACATACGATTGGCGCATTCGTCGTTTGATTGATTAGCAGCATTCATTTTACTTATTCGTATCTCATTCATCCGTTTTTTTTTGAATTCACTTTTCAATTTACCAGTATGTCAAATCCATCTACGAATATGGTTCTTAGCTGGCAATCAGTATTGCTCTATTTTCAAAAAATCAAATTGCCAAATTCGATTTACTGATTTTGTTGGAAAGAGGAACAGCTCAGAGATTTACACAAGATTTTCATTATCCACGTTTACTTTATTTATTAATTGCTGTTAATCTGGCATTTGATTTATGAAAATTGCTCTGTGAATGCTTCACATTCTTCGGCAGTTGGGAAAGGAAATAAGTTCACTGAAGTTTACACATCATGAGTGTGGTCTTCTTTCTGCAAAAGATGAATCATCTGCGGGCAAAGGGTTTCTTCGGCTGATCCACATTTAATGCTCTTGACTACTAACAATGACAGAATTTCATTACAAAAATATATCCAATTTACTGTTTTTCCATTCATCTAATCCCACTCATATCTCATTCGCGTGCCCATGCACATAAACGATGTAAGTAATGAGGCGTCATTTTTGAGCCATTCATTTAACGAACGAAGTGTATTATTGAAAAAGAAGTGACTAACTTTAAGGCAGTAAAGTGAATCGTTTTCAACAAAATCTTAATCTTAACATTTATTAAAGATCGTTCCAGATGTATTCACACCATTTCATATTTCGAATCGGTTATAGTTTCTTATAGGAAAATGAATGAACTCGAATAGATTTCTTCATTTATTCATTGAAATTTTCAAAAAATTTTACTTCGATTTCCTAGAATGAGACTTTTTTCAGTTATTCAGTTATTTTGATGCAATGGCATAAAAATTCATCGAAACAGTTCAAACTTCCAGCACCCGTTTTATTTTTTTATTTCCAGCACTCGTTTCATCAAATATTCGTTTTAGAACCCATTGATCTGGCTCTAAAAAAGTTCATTTCTAAAACAATCAGCCATATTTCTAAAACAATTTCCTAGAATCAACTCTAAAAAACAACAATCAGCCAACTTTTGTGACATAATTCGATGAAGGATGTGAAAATGAACTGCATAAAATTAGAATAACAGACGAAACTGCATTCATATTCTGATGCAGTTGACAGTCATTTCTTTCTCCTCAAAAAAAAAATCAATTCAGATATTAAATGGCTCAACAACTTCAACAATTGAATGCATCGCGTTGGCGCATGATGAACGAACATTGGCGTATTCGACATCAACCGTTGTGAAACTAGTGGATTTGAACACTGGTATGTTATGGCAGTGATGATCGCTTAGTGATTATTCCGATTATTGAATGCTTTGGCAACGTTTCTTGTCTTAAGACTTGTTATGAATTTATCATTTACGAGAAGACTGTAAATTTCTTTAAATGCCCGGTCTTTTTGAAGATTGCACATTTCAAGAGATTAAATTTCTTTAGAAACTAAATATAGAATCAACATAGCTCCGAATGAAGAGAAGGATGCATTTTTTGAATGGTATTCATGAGTTTCAATATTTACACTATTCCATATTGCTTGCATTAATTCTCATTTTGAGGTTTGAAGGTATGCATGGCTGGATTTTTGTGCATTTGTGAAAAACGTTTAAATTTTTAGCTCGGGAATTGCGAACATTAGTCGGCCATAATGGATATGTGAATGCTGTGGTTCAAAGTAATAGGTTAGTTATGATATCATCATTTTATAATATAATAATCGCTAATGATGGTTTTGTCTATGTTTCAGAGTAAATACTTCATTCAAAAATTGAAATGTCTTGTTTGTATGGAATAACACCTCATTGTTGATTTATTGATGCCTTCAGATCGATTTATGTTTGGGCATCAGTATCATCGGACTGTACCGTAACACTATGGGATACTCGGCAACATCCGGCCAACGTACTGGTGCGTCGACTGAATCGTGCCGCGAATTGTGCACGTTTCAGTCCGGACGATGCTTTTGTTGCGATTGGTTCAGATCACTTGTATATGATGGACCCTCGCGTTAGAGATGTGCGATTTCTGCCTTCCACATCTCAGGTATTCTATGTTCAGAATTAAATAACGATTTTTTGCTGTTTTGATTGTTATTGATATTGTTCACCTTCTAAGGATAAACCTACTGTACTCATGAATGAGGAGACTTTCATAGCTATTCATATCATTCAATATTGCATACGTCAAAAAAAAAAAACAAAAAATTTAATTGTAGTGTGAAATGATGTATTATTTAAATCTACAGGTTTTGCATGTTTGCTTTCATCCATCCGAATATTTATTAGCATCAGCGTCAGAAGATCGTTTGGTGCGTTTTTGGGATATTGATTCAGAGGAGTGTGTATCACAAAGTGAACCAATGGACGGTATTCCAAGAGCAATCGCATTTCATAATGATGCATCTGCACTTTTCACCTTAACTGATCGGTATTGAATTGAATCTTCTCCTATTGATATCTTACATTTCAGATAATAATATCATTGAAACAAATAACTAACTTAACAATATGCTCACATTCAGTCAGCTAAGCTATTTCATTCAATTCCTCTACAAAATTCGTTGTGTTTCCTATTATTGAAATATTCAGAACGAATTTTTCAGCTGAATTTCACATTATTGCTGTTCTTTAGACGATGTGGAGCGATCTGCTGGGAGCCATTCGATATTCTTGGTCAGTGTTCCATTCCGCAATGTGAACATTCGTTAGCGATGACCGTCTGTGATTCGGATGTTTTCGTTCTCGGTCGGTCTCTGTCACACAGTCTACTCAGTCTTCAGTCAATAACCACTCATGTAAGTGCTACTTGCAGAATGATTCAAATTAAGAACTTATGTCTTTCTATGGTCTCATTTATCTTCGTATATCGTGATAAGAACAAATCGTTCATTTTGATCACATTGCAACTTGTTTCTTCCACGTTTACTATTCGAAGACATTTTACACTTTTCTTTATCAGTCTTCTCGGTTGCGCTCATTTCATGTGTAGCATTGACTACTATTTCTATATTGCACGTTGTAAGTGAAGTGAATTATGTTAAGGTATTCAAAATATACCATTAGCTTACAGTATTGAATTATTCACATGATATTTTCGAAATGGACTTTCCGTTCGCTTAAATGAAAAAAATAGAAGCAGACGCTAAATTCTGAAATGATGGTGATTATTGCTGTTGCAAGAAAAACGTAATCGGTGCTTTGATGATTGGTTGGTTGTAGATGGCACACGAGGCATATTCACGAATCCATTTCTGGAACCATATTCTTGCTCGTGTTTGTAATCGATATAAGTGTGAAATGACCTCTCATCTAGTATTTATTGTCATTATTTATTCATGTAGGTATGCATGTATAGATTTAAATCTGCACACATAAGTGTGATATGAGAACAACATACATGCATTATGTCGTTTAATGCTTTATCCACCTTACCGCATCACTTTTGTTGTTGCTTAGCGACACATACACCGAATATACTTATTGTATTCTTTATCCAGTTCGCTTATTCTCGAATTCTTGATCATTTAACCTTATTCGTAAAATGACTCATCTACATTTCTTTGTTATTATTAGTTCATTATTTACTGGTTGCTTTCGTTGTTTTTATTGCTGTTATTGTTTTATGATGCTTTAGAGATCGACCTTTCACGATGAACATTTCGGAAATCATTTTTTCGTCTTCTGCTTTTCGAATCGTAAACCACTGATAAAATCAAGGAAAGTCGACGAAAAACGCTCGTTTATGATTTTTTTCAGCACTGATATCGTAATCACGAATATCACTCATTCCAGTTTCGTGAAATTAGCCTAATTTGATAAGTCGATTGAAATACATCATATTCTTGTGTTGGAAATGAAATTGAGCTTTGTTCGTTAAATTTAATGCATAAATGTGAAGAATACGCACGAATGGAGACTGCTAATTGTTGACGGATCGGAGTTGATGGGGGTTTTCGTTGTAGAGTTTATTGAATGAAAAATTCGATGAAAAGGACACTTTATTGACGGTGGAGTTGAAACAACAGCAATATCAGCCAGAAAAGACAGAAGACGAGAAAAGAGGAACCGAACTTGAGGAGAGCTCATCAATAGATGGCATCATTGAGGAGATGATGGAGAGCGCGAATGAGTCGGACATCTTCATGCCAACGCACACATTACCTCGTACACCACCACCCAAACAATTCGCAGTACCTTCCAGCGAAGAAGTTTCTTTTTTTTCGCTTTTTTTTTCGTTCACTCATGAACCGTATCGTTTTTCAAAATCATTCTAGTCATTTATCCATTGTTTAGTGCGTTCAGTAAGGAATTAGCGCACGTCTTCTAATGTTTTTTTTTTTGGCGAAGCATTAGTCCTGAACTTCAAAGTTAACCTGTACCTGATCCTTATCATAACAGGTAGTAAGTATAACGTTAAAAGTCTAGTGGTAAGTATAACGTTAAGATTGCGCATTTCACGACATCGGAATTTTTTGAAACATTTGCAGACTTTTGTTGTATCGATCGTCAATAGTACGCCACAGCAACAGGCACAACACATTCGACCGACAACATTAAGAACCCGTCGTACAGAAGCCGCAAATTTGAAGTGCGATCAATACTTTCGATTTGTCATTTTTATAAACAAGTTTTTGTTCTTTTTTTCATTGTTTATACGCTTTTCGTTTTATTGCTATTTTTACATTATCAGTGACTTATTAAAGTGAATCGATATCAAGTGAATCTTCAGGAATGAAACAAAAAATACGCTGACGAGTAGTTCTCGAATTCGACGTTCATTAGCAAATAACAAGAATCCCAGTGGTTCGTTTCTTAAGTTCAATCTATGACAATGCTCTTTATCGTTAAACCAGTTTTATTGATTAAATCATCCTGGCCGTGATATTTTGAAATTATATGTTAAATGATCGATCTTAGTACTGTAATTGATATTATTATTATTCTTCTACCGTTGTCTTTGTTTTATCGAGTGAAAGTTGTTACCGTTGTTGATACTGTTACTGGTATTATATTATTATCCTCAATCGATAATGCCAATAATATTATGTGGAACAACTGAAGTGAGTGTATTTATTATGGAGGTATTATGTTACAATAATAAGTTTTGTTATCATCTAGTAGTCAGAAGTTGGATTGAGATAAGATCATAGCATTCAGTTGCTGTTAAATGAGGATTGATAGTTGTGGGATCAGGTTGTGCATTTGAAGCAATCTAGATTCATGCGCTCTGATATCATCAACCTTAGCATATCATCTGTCTGTTCAGGAAGTGGTATCGCCTGCACGTCTTCTGCACCAGATGTACGTAATGTGGCAACACAAAAGAAACGAACTGATCGAGTGCGTACATAATATTTAAATTCAAAATGCTTTTCTCATCTTCGTTGATCATTAAATTCCTAAATAAAATTTCGAATAAGCAGCAGTAATGTCTATCATTTCACGTTCTTTCACGATTAATCACGAAATTTATGGCGAACAAAATGATAATAATCTTATGAGAGTTTTTAAGGAGGAGAAAAGTAGACGACGGACACTGATGCAGAAAGACGAGATAATCAGTAACAAAAATGAAGTGGAAAGGAGCGCTGACGATGAGAATTGGCTGTTGAATGAAATCAACGAAGAACATGGAAACGTTGAGATGGTATTAGCACAACGACGCATTTCGCTTGATACACTTCGACAGTGTTGGCGTCAACGTGGTCTAGATGCAGCACTTTCAGAAGCATCGCATCTTGGTGAATTGGCGTTAATAGCTGAGTTATTAGCTGCTATCAATCATTCGTCTACGTCTACATGGAATCTTTCTTTATGTTGTGCAGTTTTACCGCATGTCAGTGTGTTAGTGGCTAGCAAACATGAGTATTACGTTGAGGTTGGTTTATGCATATGTTCATTCATACGGTGAACACCACTCTCATTCAGATCTTTTTCTTTATTTTGAACCATTCTGACAACTATTCTCGTTTATTTGAGTACGAACGAAATAGCAAAGATATTTGCAATATACTTTGATGCTAGCTGCTAGAATGATTTATATATTCGAGGTTGCTTTGGCAGCGTTGCGCATAGTGGTAACTGGTTTTGGTAATGTTATCCGTATGGGTGCTCAACAGCCATCACATATTGGAGTGGATGTTACGGCCGAAGAAAGACATGCCAAATCTATTAAGTAAGACATTTATTCGCTTTATTTCAGTCTATTTGATGAGAGTGTTCGTTCCATTGTTATGACCTTCATTCATCCAGGACCACTTTCTAAGTCATCTTCACAGTATATGTGTGTAATGTCGTTCTAGTGACACCTTTGAGAAGGGCCAAATATGGCTGAATTTATTCTGTGTAATAACAATCTTCTTGGATTTTTCACGGCTGAAAAAACGATGAATTGTCTGATGATCAAATGCTCGTGCTTTTTAATGCTTTCGCTGAACTTGTAACGTTATGGAATGTTGCCTTTTTGGGAGCGATTGTTATGCGGCAGTGTGAAAAATATCAATCGTTAGAAGAGATAATTCACTGTTTCAGATGTGTGCAACAGTTAACCGAAATGCGTGTTAAAGCATCATTGCTATGTGATCGCATGAACGCTCGTCATGCACGTGAATTTAACGCACTTATGCAAATTTTCGATGATACGATTTCGCCTCTGTGATATCTTCTGAATGATCGTCGAATTGGCGTTCTCTCGATGATGGTTCGCTTTTGTGTGGATTTTACTGGCAGTGTAACTGCTTTGCGACCCATTTATCCATCACAAGATATGAATTATGATATGATATGAAATATGGTTTAATATGAATTGAATATATGTATGTAGTTGTTCGTGTGCTGTGTGTGATTGTGTGTGTGCCTTCTCGCAAAATGCTCTATTGTTTGTTCGTTACTGATAAATTATCATTTACTGCATCCATATATAATAATAAATTCAGTAATTCTTAACTGGTAGCTGCCAAATTTGAGCAGTTTTAAGTAAAAAAAGAGATGAATTGAAGTGTTTTTCTCATTGAACGTGATGACTGTAGTATTGTTATGGAGTATGCAAACAAATGTATTCGACTACTTGAGTAAGATGATGAAAGTATGGTTGAAATAATCGCTAATCAATAACTTTTAGTTGAGAGTTTCCGTTTGATCGTCTACCCGTACAGTTCGTTTGCCTATGCCATTCGATGATTTTTGTCTTAAATTAGTTGATTTGATGGCAGCAAATGAATCTATTCATTTAGTCAATAAATGGACAAAAAATGAAAATGTTATTGCTTTTTGTTGTTAAAAATGTGATTTGCTCCAGCATGAACACAGCACCACTAGGAATTGACAATGGGTTGTATTGCCGTCAGTCACTAAAATCATGATTGGCTTCGATCGCTTTCTTCATTCATGTCTCTTTTCAGTCGCTTTTGCTTTTTTCCGTTCTCTTCATCCATAAATTGACATTTGATGTGAAAGCATTAAAGCTTTCAGTAGTATTCTTCTTTTTTTTTTCGGGGCTTTCATCTCGTGCTGATTTGTATGGCGTTAACTGAATCGCTTCAGCGTTGATTGCATTATGGAAATGATCATCAGATCACAAATCGTATATCAATTGTTTATTTTCATATCATTGTTGTGTTGTTGTTGTTGTTGTTGTACGACGCACAATTCATTATTCGACGCTACATGCTCACTGTTCATCTATTCCTTAGCAGCTGCGTACATAATTCATCTATATATAATATTTTGTGCTCATACAGTTCGTCTATTATTCTGAATGAAGAATGCTTGTTGAATAGAACTCGAGTATTATTTCAATTAATATATAAATACGATTGATTTGGGTGTGATGATGTAGATTTTGGCTTTATGAAGAATTGTATGAGCTCTGCGTATTATTTCTCCGCTCTCTTCACTCCGCTCGTTACTGAAGCAATGTGATGGTGTTTTTTTTTTTTTGTTTGTTGAAGATAATTCAGCAATGCATTTAATATTCATTAATTTGATGAGAAGAGATGAAAATATTTTGAAGTGTTTCAAAGCCTATTCAATGATTCGTCAATTTAAAAATTTCACAAACATTTCCGTCCGACCATGTGAGCGATCAACAGACCGACAACTTACAATTAGACAACTATAAATTAAGTATGTAGAGGCTTGCTTTCTTCTCATATTATCGGGTTGATTTGCCTTTATGTAACATAATAGCAAAGTGTTCATTCAGATGTATCTTTCATTGTTGATTTGATGTAGTTGCAATTATTTGTTCATACATAACACATTCATTGCATTCATCTCTAATAAACCAACTATGGAATATGGACTTTTGTTTGAGTATGTCAGTGCAAATTGCTAACTTAATAATGCTCGCTTTCTTCATATGATCACTGCTAACAGATAGACATTTTGAGGTACGTGACCTAATTCCTATGTTTAATATGTGATAGAAGTAATTTATTTATTTGTAAGTATTCTTCACACTGTGATTTGGAACTATCACTTTTTGAGAAGAAAAAAAACGAATAGAAGTAAAGCAAAAGAAAAAGTTGAACAAGTTCGTTAATTCTGCATTTCTTTATGTGTTGATCTGAAGTTTGGTTTTGTGTTGATCTAACGATTGTTATTTCAGTGAATCAGTTTTCATTCTCGTTCTAGCAACAACTCGAAATGATTTTATAAGCATCGAACGTTTCAGTTTGTACACTGAGTCATTCGTTTACAAAATAACTGTTGTCACTGCAGAGAAATTCTATGATTTCTTAGAAAGCAATACTTGTAAATAGTTATTTCGGAATGTTTGTTGTGTAGATGCTGCATCAAACTTGTCGTCGTGTCTTGTATTCATCAGCTATCACACTTCAGCCGAAAACCAATTCAAAGTACTTGTTTACTTCCTTCGATATCTTCTGCTTTTATTGTTCGGAGCTTTTGTTAGCTGTAGAAAACTGTCGAGACGTGCATCCATCGTTGTTTTCTTCTCGTTCAATCTACCCTCAGACAGCGGTTGTTTTCATCGTATTCTCGTGATACGCTTTTGAATTTTGTTCTGCTGCAATACCAACAGTGAGCAAGACGAGACGATTAAAGAATTGACGATGTACTTGTTGTTTTGAGTTACTCTGATGGAAGCCATCATTTTCTTTTGTTCGATTCTCGTCTTTTTTTTTTCACTGCATCATTCGCCTCGAATGAACATTTGTTCTTCTCAGTTGTTGTTGTTGCTGAATCGTATTATTTTACTAATAGTAAGGACTAGACTCATTCAACTAAAACTATCAGTGGCGCTTCCATTCTGTCACCTTCATTCTCTTCAAGTAATCGTTTTTTGCTTTTATGTATTCAAATTATAATCCATTGTCTTATTGAATAAACAACGACGTAGATTCAGTTCGATCAATCGTCAGTCTTTTAATCAGACTTGTAAACTATATTAGCTTTCTTCAACTCATATAGGCAATGGTAATCACCATCTGTTTGAAGTTTCACGAAGCATTGATGAACTGTTCGTCTCTTTTATCATGTTTTATCTAACAACCTATCCTTTTGAATCTCAACAAAACTGAACACGATGAAAAACCAGCGACGACGATGTAACGCAATACCCTACTTTACAGCGTTTGTTTTTAGTTTATCACATACAGGTTATCAGTTTCGTAGATCATAGCTTATCGTCGAATCGGAAAACGAATGCAAATAACGGAAGAAGAAGGAGGTAACACGTGATCGGTGTGCTACGCTCGCATCAACATTATGATGAAAACTGTACGACTGGATGCGTTTCATAAAAGTGTTATTCATTGTCACCTAGATGATGATGCATTCTCTTTGTAAGATAGGCGTTTTCCACCTTCGTATAGTCGTCATTCTCTGAATTCCATTTCTTTACTACAATAACCATGCGGAGGATGACTGACGTAATGTCTCATTTAGAACAAAAAGCGAACGCATCCTCTCTCTTTGTGTCATTCAATAAAGTATTGCGAATCCTTTGCACTCATCAAAAGTAGTGAATGCTTATCAATTTAATTCAACTTCAGCGTTGTGTTTACATCAAAACTTATCGAAATTTCAATGAGCCTTCAAAGTAGTGATATAAATTCGTGTTTATATGTACTAATTTGTTGTGTGTCATTCATCAATACACCAGCCGATGCCATTAAAATGTTGTAATCAACAAAAATGTCAGTTGATAACTGACTGATTATAATTGCTATCACTTTTGTTTGTTTTGATGCTTATCTCATTTTTCAGCCTTACACACTCAATAATAATTATTTGTGAGAATTGGTTGGTTGTTTATATACCTTACTAAAGTATAAGTTATGACATACCTTATGATTCTATTTGTTCATTGAAATTTGCAGGTTTGAGGAAGGAAGGCAAATGGACCGATGCCTCGAGAGGCAGACGATCATGATCAAAAAATTGTATTACGTTTGAATACGGGCTCATGCATTCATGACGTTGAGCTAAAGGCGAAATCAACGTCGACGATAGAGGTAGGGTTGGGGAGCCCCGAGATCTGTTAAGTGCTGGGAGTTTCCTGAGGGTAGGGGTAGAGTTGGGATTCTCCGAGACTCCGCAAGTGCAGTGAACCCCCCTCGGGCTCCGCGACCCATCTCCAGTATACACAACTGTTTGCATCCATTGAATTCAAGTTTTGTGATGTCATTGGTGATGAATTATGCTCGGAAATTTGAATAACTAAAAGAAATTTCAACTCAAAATGAACTCTTAAACTCTCAAATGAAAATCAACCTCGTTTCTACCACACATATTCGGCGAACGCGCCTATCTTTGCCCGTTGTGTAAAATTGAATTGCAGTTGCAGTTATTTTTGCCTGTTGATTTTATCATAGTGGTTGAAAGCATAGAATAAAGCATAAAAACAATGTATCATACAGAGAAGTCTTCTTCTCTGTATGATATATTGTTTTTAAGTTGTAAGCATTGAATTGATACTACACTATTTTGATGCTCTTTTCACTCATTCGAATCATTATTTTTATCAGTTACTTATAATCGCATTCAGACATCTATTGTTCACTCCACAATCACTGAAAAAAATCAAGTTTCTAATATTCAGTGCACAACCGTAAACAACCCACTTTCATTCTACAGCTGTAATATGTTTGTTCTCGATTTCGTTTCTCATTTACTGATTATCATCCGATCGTGAGTTGTTTCTTTCTAATTATAGCCCTTATTGTTATCACAATTTATGTTATTATTGTTATTATTACTGCTATTAGTATTATTATTATTATTATTATTATTATTTACTAACTACGATTGTTAAAATAATGATTATTATTTATGTTATTAGTACTATTTATATTATTATTATTTATTAGTACTATTTATATATTATTATTGTTATGGTAATGATTATTATTATTTGTATTATTAATACTGTTTATATTATTATTATTATTATTACATTATGATTATAATTATTATAGTATTATTATTATTGAGGAAATAATTAATGATATTTTTGACGTATGCATTCTTCAATCAAGAAACAAGCAAATGAGTGGATATTGCGATTATTGAAACGAAAAACGATTCAGTACAATATTTTAGAGTTTTTTTAGTGCTAGTCCCGTAAAATCCTATTCGTTGGACAACCAGCTTTTATTGATGTGGAAGAATGTTCCTTTCAAAACATGGAAGAAA